TTTTTATTGAAAAATTCGATAAATATGGAAGGTTACATGCATCAAAACTATTAGCCCGAAATTTATTATATGTTAATGTCGACACTTTATATTTGGTTAATCGATAACAACGCGTTAAAACTTTATACTTTTGCTAACAGTTTAACACCTCACGTTTATCGCTTCAACACTTTAATACTTACTTTTACAAAAAGAAAATCAAAAATGTTCACAAAAACAAAAAACGTAAACCGAAATTAAGCCTTTGCTCCAAAAATCTACTACCCGTTGTTAACACTACACTGGTTAATCAACGTTGCCAGACCTTTGCTTTCTTAGAAGAGCAAATAACCAAAACCTCGGAATTCTATACCACTCTGGATAAAAAATGGTCAATTAAACCCACGGTTCAATTTCCGACCACAAAAGTGTTTTATTAAGCGAAAAAGAATCATTTTATTTTTTTGATTATTAAATTGTGAAAATGTTTTTTACAAAACGTTAAACTAATGTAAATTTTTCCCCTGATTTTATGTGCAAAGCACTGAACCATTGAATAATTAATTAATTAACTAGTTAGTTAACCAACCGGTTATTTTTTGCTTGGTCAAAAAGCGAACTTATTTATAGTAAATCTATGATTAATTATAAAACGAATCTAGATTGATTTTATTGACACCAATTCCGTTAAATAGTATGCGGATTTTTTTGGCTTTCAAAACTTTACTGTACAAATTATACCAGAGAAATGACTCCTAAAAGCTGAATATACATGGTTCGTTGCAGCCTTATCCGTAACGCCATCATTATCTTTTAATTTTTTTCAAATTCTTCCAAGAAATTGTACCAAGCTATAATCTCTGATTGTCTCGCTCCGATGATAGTTTTTCTGGATTTTTCCTGCTTTATTATACAAACGAACCAATCTTAAACTTTCGTTGTCTTTAACTCCTTCAATTTCTTCGAGTTCTTCACTTCCTCGAGTTCTTCAATAACTTCTACTTCGGGTTCTCCGACGGTCAATTCTTCAAGTAATGTTTTTATTTTAGTTTGGGGGTTTTTTTTGTTTCTTAGTATTACTAGTATTATAGGAAATATCCTTTATAGTATTAGTATCAATATTATTATCATAGGAAACATTTATCATACGAAAATTACATTCTGGGTATTCTTGATGTTTAAAACAATTATTATTATTATGAAAAAATGACAGCATCTCTGAATTACAATTTCATCAACACCAAGTTTTGGCATAAGGAACATTTATCATCTTCCAAACTATCGCTAATTATGCCCGTACATTTAGTCATCGCGATTATGAATAATGAATCAAGGTTGGGTGCCGAAAGTATTTTGGAGGGTAGAAAGTATTTCGGCAAATGATAAGTACTTTTGCCGAAAGTGACGAAAGTGATGAAAGCGTCAAAGTGGACGAAAAATGTCGAAATTAGAATTATTTAAAACAAATTTTTAAGCATTTTTATTTCGTAGATTATGTACTTGCTTCTTGTTTTAGTAGAAATTATTAATCATCAGCTTTACAACTTTCTTCAAAACCTGTAGAATCATGTAATAATTGTTGGTTTTCTTCTGGTTGTTAAAATGCATCTTCATTTACTTACTACTTCTGAAAATAAATCCTCATTCATTGATTCTTGAACTAATCTGATGTATCATAATCTAATTCATTACTATCATCACTGTAATCTCCACCTCATCCATATTCTCATCCATTTTATCATTGTCTTCTAAAAAAAAATTATTTTCCAAATCCATAATATCACGAGTTTCTAAATCTGTCAAATTAATTTCACCATCAACATAATTATTACTTTCATCACTACTTTCTTCTTCATCACCTGAAATAACTTCTGCTTCAACCAAAATACTCTTTAAATTCTTTTCTGTTAAATTTTGGCCAGTATATTCTAATTCTTTTTTAATATTTCTCAGATAAAAGGAATGGATTTTAGCAATATTGTTTACAGAATCAATATTTAGATTTTGACAATTCTTTCCATAAAGATGTCCCAAGTATGTAAAAATGTGTTCACATCCAGCACTATGTGGAACAACTGAAAATAATTTAATTGCTAATTGTTGTAGATGGTCATAATTATTTTCACAGGTTTGCCACCATGAAAGAAGACTATCATATTGATCATTATATGTTGCATTATAAGGTTTTTGTTGTAATCTATATTTCCGCAATTGAGAAAGTAATTCTGCACAAGATTTTTTTGATTTTTGCATTGATTTCCAATAGTTTGCTGCAATTTCTGCAACATTTTGAAATTGACAAAAAAAAACCAATAGGATAATAGATAAATAATTATAAAAAAAAGGAATAAGCAATGCAGCACCAAAAGAAAAAAAGAAAATAATAAGGTAAGTGCTTATCATAAGGATGGTGGTGGTTATCGCCACTCGTCATCACTCTAGCTTGAAGTAAGTTTGTTGCTATTAATTTATAATTTATAATTTACAACAACATGAATATATAATATTAAAATTATTGATTGCTGCAGATGAGCTTGACCTCGAATCACTTTACAAATACATTATGAAATATTTTGTTAATGATAAAAAGGACTACATCAAAGAAAATCCAATCAAAATTCTTCAATTAATTTATTCATACAGCAAATTCGACGAACTAAAAAATATTTGCTTAAAAGAAATTTGCATCAATCGTGAAAAATTATTAAGTCAACGGAATACGATTCATTTGAAAAACAGATTTTATTAGAAATTCTTAAAAGGGATGATTTAGTTGTCGACGAAATAGAAATCTAGGAAAACGTTCTTAAATGGGGATTGGCAAAACATCCAGGTGTTAATAACAATGCTGACTGTTGGTTGATTCAAAATTTCACTCATTTAGGAAACACTTTAAAAGAATTCATTTATTTAATTCGATTCAAGGATATTTCTAATAGGGATTTCTTCAATAAAGTTGTGCTACCAAATGCCAGTGTTGTGCAATCGGAACATTGTAATGCTATTGGAATGTTCCGATGTGGTTCCAATATTAATATGATTTCAATGTAGATTGACCAATAAAAATTTGTGTGTGTGACACTCTAATTGAATTTCATTGGTTAACTTCATTGGAACCACATTTGGAACGAGCGTTCCAATTCCAATTAGAATTTGTTGGAACCATAAATGGCACAACACTGCCAAATCCTTTTTCCAAAGGAGTTGTGGTTAAAACTTTTAAACTATTATATTGTTCCCGAAGATCAACCATCTTTAAGTTTATTATCATCTAGAATTTCAAAAATTGAACAATTCATTATCAATCAAAAGATTACATTGCTTTTTGGAAGCTGGATTGACAGAAAAAGCCCAACAACATATACTTCATTGACTGATATCAAATATAAATTAATCGTAGCAGTAGAAATGGTTTAAATGCAACAGTATTTCATCAAAAATGTGATGATATCAACAAAACTCTTGTGATTGGTAAAATACGAAGCACCAAACAAATCATCGGCGGTTATAGTTAGGGTTTGTATTCACGAATACCATGAATACCGTTAAGGGGTTGCACACTATTAAATGTGCAAAGAATCCCTTAAAAGCACTTAATTTTAATAGTGTGTGACCTCCGTGAATACAAACCTTAATTATAATCCGCTTAGTTGGAGTGAAAGTCAATATAAAATTACAAATGAAAGTTTTATTTTTCATATTAGTAATAATCAATCTGGTATCTATTGTACTCCCAGTTATTTGCCTACCGTTGGTAACGGTCATGATATTCAATTTAATGGAAATAACACTGTTAACTGCACTCCAACCGCTTATAATACTATTAATATAGCAAATGGTAGTGTGTATGAAGAATAGAAGTTTATCAATTAATGTTTATCAATTAATTAAATATTAGCATTAAATTAATCGTTACTTTTATTCCTTATTTTTCCAATTAAAATAAAAAATTTGAAATTTTACACAAACTAACAAATACGATACGTGTGTACCAAGTTTATAATTGAGACATACATTTTACCATAAAGTCACATGACAATTAGCAAGAAAAATTATTATTATATTTCGTACATTTTCCTGTGCATTTTCCGTAAAATCATGTATTTTTCCACAAAAACATCCACAGAAAATGTACGGAATGTATTTTCAGATCATTTTCTGAACAGAAAAGCGCGTTCTTTTCATGTATAATAAAATGCACAGAAAAAATATATGGAAAAACCATACATTTTCTTGTCATTTTCAATGTCCATCTCCTTGTTTAGCAAGTGCATCGTTTTACAAATCTTGGATGGTGCTTAAAGGGTGCAGAGGAGAAGTAATGGAACATCTAGTTATTGGGTACTGGAGCAAAAGTATCATCAATTAGCTTCCTCGCTATGATATCTTTTATGACATATTTTACGAATCCTATAACAAATTATTATTATATGTGGTTATCATGAATTTTTATTAATATTAATTAAATAAATGAAATAAACGACTAAATTAAAATCTTTATAATAGTTTAACTCTTAAGGTATATACAAAAATAAAATTTATTAAAAAGCTGGGCTGGCTGGTTATTACTTTATTTAAAAATTGGTAGCATTTTCTTTAAAAAGAAAAATTTTCGAAGGAAAATTTTTTTATAATAAATCGCACAACTTTAAGTCCTTTTTTTACTGATAAATTTTAACAAGTTGTCTATCATCTTATTCTTTAAGACACAAAGAATAAAATCATAGAAGGATTTTTGCTCTATCTTGCTTAGTTATCGAGCCTATATGCTTCAATTCAAGGTTCAATTGTATTTTAAACATTTTTAGATGACTTTACTAATGAAATTAAAAAAACCTCTCTGTCACTATGTTGACCATCATATTTATTACAATCCCTCTTAACTTCATAATTGTATCTTTTTTATTTTCGAAGAAGATACAAATTTTTTTCTATATATGTTTTATTGAAAAAGTTTATTAGTAGTTTTGATCTACATATACTATCACGGAATTATAGAAAACTTTTCAGGAAGAATTTTTCCAACAACAACAATAATACATAACTATAATAATAATAATGATGACAACGACAACATAACTATAATAATAACAATAATGACAACATAGCTATAATAATAATGACAATATAATTATAATAACAACAATAATGACAATGTACAATGTAGCTATAATAATAACAATAATGACAGCATAGCTATAGTAACAATAACCACAACATAACTATAATAACGACAAAATACTGGATAATTCTATGATAACCCATGTACCTTGGGAGGTAAAATTTGTAAAAAAAAATCTCATGTTTTTAAAAAAAGGACTAGAAAGGAAATTTATTTGCTGTTTTTAATAAGATCATCAGGTAATGACAGTTATAATAACAAGGGTGATGAAAAACCCATAAATATCATAATAAACCTATCAACCTATTATTAGCATATTGAAAGACATCATTGCAGATTATAACAGAAAGTATTCCCACTACTACTAGTCGTCAACAATACCAGGGTAACAGTTAATATTTATTTATTTGATGTTTTACGAAACAAAAATAAGTTTTTTTTTATTTAAATTTAGAATGCAAAAATATTATACCAGAATCATCATTACAAAACCGGTGTTATAATTGTTGAAGGGCTGGGTACACACAAGCTTTACAACTGTGGTCACAAAAGAAGACTACGTACACCCTTCATCGTACTGTCTAGAACACAAATATTAACTCCTTGGCGAAAAGGAAATAAGAGATTATATTTTTTTGATAGTAAAAAATAATTTACCAGTTGAATTATTGAGGAATAAAATGTCATCTTATTGGGAAAAAACGCCTAAAATCACAAGTTATATAAAAGATTGGCGGTCAAATTGCGAATCAACTTATTTTTTTTTTTTTGTGTGTAGTTCCTTTATTCAGCATCAGACCAAGTGGTTATCTTTAAATAAATTTTTTTTTACTACTTTTATATACTGTACTTGTAATCTGCAAATCATTGGAGAAAAATAATTTTTATCATCAGTATTATCTTCTAGCAGTATAAGCCGGCTAAAAAAAAACAATATCTCTTAACATTTATTTTTGCATCTGGAATTTTAGTGCAAAGTTCAGTGCCATAAACTCTTAGTTGAGATGGGCACATTTGCATTACTTAAAATGACAAAAAAACATGCTCAAAAAAAATATATATAATAAATACTCAAGATAAGAGTAATAGTAATATAACTCAATCTTAATATTAATTCGAATTGTTATTTTTCGAATTATTATTAATAATAATAATAATAATAGTAATAGCCCCTGATATTTTTTTAAAATCACCTAAGCAATTATTAAATATTATAAATAATTGTCTTAAATCTCTCAAATATTCCAATTTTTCAGTTTTATATTTAGGAATTGCTTTTATAAATTACCTGATAAAGATAATATAAATTTTTAATTTTAGATTGTGCTTTAATTAATTAAGTTAGTCTGTATTCTATTTTTAAAACTTGAATCTTCTTACAAGTAAGTACTTGCTGATTTATCAATAATTCTGAATTATTGTTAATTTTAAAATCTAATTCATAAATATTTTGAAAGCAAGCAGTAGCAATATTACAATCAACAATTAATTTAATTAATTTTTCACAATCAGTATTAATTCTTCAAAATAAAATTCACTAATCTTTCTTTTAACTAGCTATCAATAGATTTCAATAAATAATAATTCTCTATCTAAACAATTCGCTTCTATTGCAAATTACATAATAGTGGTTTCTCCAATAGTCGAAAAGTTAATTTTCAATGTTATTTTTATTATAAAGTCTTTATCTTCTACTAATTAAAATTTGAATATTGAATTTAGAATGGAATGGATTTCTCTGTAAGATTGAAATATTGATATTGTGCCATTGTTTATTGACAAGATTGCAAGAATATGATAATTTATAATCTTCTTCAATGTACTTGAATATGTCAGATAAAACTTCAAATGGTAAATTTAAAGTTGACATTATATGATTTGCACAACTATATATTAATAATATTTTTTATTTAATCATAATCCTGTGCAGTGATATTCTATTAGAGGATTGGAAGGCCTGTTATCATTAATACTGTCCAAACAAAAATAATCATGTGGTAAATTGAGCCATTATTAATAAATAACAAAGAGTCCAAGTAGTAAAAGGATTCCTTATTGTTATGATTCACACCAACAACATTTTTACTGTACATCATAACTTTCAATGCTAAAAGAGTTATTTTGCAAGCGTGATCAAATTGTTTCACTTGGAGTCAATTATTACGTTGCAAACTTTAGAGCAATAATGGGATTTTAGATCATTTATCGTATATTTCTATTAAGGTTTATCACAACTGTATTTTTCATGAGGGGACATTACAATTCATATTACACCACGAGAAATAGTAGTATTTTATGTTTTTGGAAACCGTTTTCAATGACATTAATCCTTGTTTGATGATGATGAAAACATTTTGATAAAGAAAAATTTCATCACGATCCGTATTATTAGATTGAATTGATCGACAATATTAATATGTTGTACAAACAATTTTTCAAATAATAATAATGAATTTACCACTCGAAGTTCTACTCTTGCACTCTTGTCAATAAAAAATGGCATAAAATTAATATTCCAATCTTATGGAGAAACCCATTTTGTTCTATATCCAGTATTCAAATATTAATTAACTGCATATTAGTAGAAGATAAAGAATTTTTATCAAACAACGACATTGAATTAGATTTTAAACTGTTGGAAAAACCACCATTACGTAATTATGCCAAATTTACAACCGAGTTGGATTGCTTTAGATTTTGGGGTAGTTGTATATATCCACCACTGAGAGCTAATTATGCTTATATTTATGTTAAATATATTAAATGTAGATGTTTAAAAGAAAGATTAGAAAAATTTATTTTAGATCATTCAAATATCAGGAAGCTTATTGGCACTGATTGTGAAATTACTACTTGCTTTCAAAATCTTTATGAATTGGAATATTATTTTAGAATAAATGATGACGATTTAGATAAATTGGCAAATATTTCCAAGTTTTAAAAATATTTTGTGCTAAATTTTTTTACGATGCTGGGGTTGACTACAATCTAGCTCGGCTAATTAGAGCACAAAATAAAATTTCAACACTAGTATTAGATTTTAGTTCAGATGATAATTTTATTTTATCAATTGATTTAGGAAAGGCAATTTTAGTTCATTCACAATCAATAATTGATTATACTAGCAATGGAAAAATTAATATAGATCATATAATATTACCAACATTTCATAATTTAAAGTTTTTAAGAATATCTAAAGGAATAAAGGTGGCGATATAAACTATTTGAAATCAACTTTATTTCCACATATTGAATCTATTGACTTGCAACTATATGATCAGCAGACATCTCTATCAGATTTATCAGAATTCATAAAAATCAACGAAGGTAATCTTAAAAATTTGAAAGTTTGGGTTAGTTGGACAGATAATGAAGCATTGGACAAATTTCTTCAATCAATTGCACAATATTGTCAAAATTTAATGATGAATTAGACAAACGATTAATTTCAATATTTATTAATTGCATTAAATTAAAATCTATTAGGCTTACTAAAATTGATGAGTTGAATGGTGATAGAATTTTAAATGCCTTAAATCAAGCATCACCAAAAAATTTAAATGCTATAATTTTTGGTTGTAGTATTACTATTTCAGATAGTTCACTGGAAATTTTAATGAATAATTGGAATGGACCTAAACCTTTTAAAATAGAATTAACAGGCTCATCAAAAATTAGATTAGGAGATTTATTAAAAAAATATCAAGGATTGGGATTTTTAAAATTATAAATCATCAGTTCACCAATTAATTCATAAACTTTATTAATATATGAATTAAATATCAAACACACATACTCACATATATCCTATACTCTATTACAAAATATTACAATTTCAATTTTAAGAAAGTCTTTCTTTATGGGTAGAGGGCATTTATATTGTTTGAAGATCGACATTTATCTTGAATATTTATCTAATAATACTTGTTTTTCATTTACTAGATATGTACAGTTTTTTATTAATTTATATACAGTGTGTTACGAAATAGTTGATGTTTTCTAAAGAAAGTAACCAAAATCCAAAGTCACATTAAAAAAATTATATCAGAGGGTCAAGAGATTTTAAATTATTACATGTAAAAACTTTGAGCAAATTATTATGTAGGTTTTAGAACAATGATTAAAAAACTT